AATAAAGCCAGGGGAAAAAAATTCTTTTTATGTATCTCTCATGGAGAACAATTTGGCAATATCTACCCAAATTGCAAACACTTTGACCTTTTGATCCAATGATCCCACTTCTAAAAATGTATTCTATAGATTCATTTCAAATATGAACATATGCTGTTTACTGCAGCAAATTGAACATAGGAAATAAAAGAGAGGGAGATTGGGATGGAGGGAAGGAGAGAGAAAGGGAGGGAGAAGAAAAACTCAAATGTCTATCAGTGAGGTTTGAGTCAAACAAATTATAAATTATGTCTATAAATGGAACATTATATATTATATTGCAAACAAAGGATAGTGTGATTCCCTGTATACTGCTATGGAGAGATCTCCAAGATATATTTCAAGTGAAAAAAGCAAGGCGCATGTTAGTGTATAATATGCTAACTTTGCTGTATAAAAGGGGAACAATATATATTATTTGCTCTTATTTGTGTGAACTCTGGAAAGACACATAAGAAACCAATAAAAGGTGAAGGACAGGGAGTTAGAGTGGGATTTTCCAATGTATATCATCTTTACGTTGTTTGATTTTTTTGAAGCATGTGAATATTTTTTATTTAGAAAATAAATTCAAATGGTTTTTGAAGAGACTTCTTTTTGCAAACAAATTGAAAATCAAACCAAACAAAATTTTAACACAGCCAAAGCAATTCATAATGTCCTGTTTCTACTCTTTAATAGTGGAGTAAATCTTACATCTGCCCTCAAATATATCCGATATTTCAGAAAACGTTTTTTTCTCTTTTGTCTGTATTTTTTGATGTCTGCCTCCTCTTATTCTCATTTCTTTAACACCTTAATTGTATTACTTACAGTGACTACGAAGCATTCAAGGATGAAGAGTCTGTGTAAGACCTGACAAACTGAAATTGCATTGTAATTTTTTTGGCAGATCTAGATCTTGCAGACCATAATAGATAGCCTGTCTCCTCTATTTTGTAAGCAACATTTATATTCTTCACAAGGCGCTCACTTACATTTTAAGGAGGAACAATAGCAGTGACAGTCTCATCCTTTCCTGTAACAAAACATTTGCAACAGTTCGCAATTATAAAGCTTTTTTCCCTCTATATATACCCATTTTAAGTCTGCTTAAACACTCTTGCCTCTGACAGAAGTCTGAGTCTGAGCTGAGTGACCTCTCTCACCTCTGTTTACTGAAACAAAGTTTTAAGGCTCTAGAATGTCCTTATGTTACAAACCAAATTCTCCGTTTTCTTGCATATTATTGTCTCATTTATTCTTGTCAACAGCACCCATCACAAGTGTTCAAGTGGCACGTAAGAGGGACAGGGAGGACAGTAGGTACATACCAAAGGTCATCTCACAATTCTGCACGTGGCCTGAGGACAAATTCCAATTTGGATTTAGAGCCATCAGCCACATCAGTGACTTTGTTATAGAGCAAGTCAATTTAGCAAATGGATATTGAGGAACATCTCGTTTTAATGAGACTTAAAGACTGACAATAAAGGTGTGTGTGTGTGCGTGTAGGGTTATGGAGAATTTTAGCAGCAAGTACTACATAATAGATGTCAAATGCCTGGATTCCCCAGCCAAATTCCTTGGGTTTGAATCCTGGCTCTGCTACCCAACTGTGTGACTTTTGGCAAGTTACTTAACCCATCCGTGTTTCAATCTCTTCACTAGTAAGAAGATGGGGATAGCAACAGTGCTAACCTCATAGGGATGTCATGAAGACCAAATGGGTTTACTATAGGTGGAGCATCTAGAATGGGTCCTGGTTGATAATAAATGCTCATTAATAGTGTTTACAAGAAACGTGAGAAACACACATGGTAAGTTTGGACCCCTGGCAAGGATTCATACAACCAGCAACTCTATCCACTTATGGTTTTCCTTCCTCCTGGGTTATGAGTTTGTTATTCCCCTCTTAGTATGTGTGCCTTCAAATAGAGTGCAAGCAAATTATTCAGGTGCCTAAGCCACACTGAAGAAAAGCATCACACAAAACATTAAACAGTTATTAGTAATTCTTATTTTAAGAACTGATTTCCTTTCTTTAGTTTGCTCTGTTAGGATCAATTATTATTTAGGTCACCGTTTCAGTGTTTTGAAATATAGTTGTAAAAAGGCCACTGACTCAGCAGAATAATGCTAAACTGTATTAGTAAAAACCCCCAGTTGTGTTGTTCTATTTAGTTCAGAGTAAGGTGGGAGGCTAGCACAAGAACCTCTTCTGTATATATTCATATATATATAGGCAAATATATGTATTTGACCATTTTAATAGATGTTTGTTAGAACAAACAAAAAAGCTAAAGATTTCCAGTGTTAGTTTCAAATTTTTCAAGGAGAGGAATAAAAAATTCATCATACTTTAATCATGGATTAACTCAGTTCCTAAATCCTGGTGACATTAAAAAGTTAAAAGTAGATGGGGGTGCCTGGGTACCAGTTGGTTAAGCGTCTGCCTTCAGCTCAGGTCATGATCCCAGGGTCCTGGGATGGAGCTCCGAGTCCTATCTCCCTGTTCAGCAGGGACCCTGCTTCTCCTTCTGGCTTCGCCTCTCTCTGATGAATAAATAAAATCTTAAAAAAAAGTTAAAAGTGTATGAAATGACCTATACAGGTTATAAAAGTTATCTGGCTGAATTTGAGCTCTCAACTAAGTTGGAGACCACAGAAAACTAACTTCCTTTCCAGAGGAGAGTTGGAAAGAGAAAGTGACTTCATTTCTTTTTTTTTTTTTTTTTTGAGAAAGTGACTTCATTTCTTGAAGGTTAACTTTCTTGATTTACATGCATTGTAGTAACTGGTGGGAGTCACAGTATCTTTCAGTCCAGTGGGTACTGGATGTCTTGACATATGTCTACTTTGTAAGTATACTCGGAGAGGCTCACAATAAATATTAACTAAATAGCATTTAGTATAGAAGTTAAAAGTATACTCTTTGAAATTTGAGCAAGAGGCAGAAATATTTAAACAGATCATGATACTCACACCCTTCTGGAGCACTGAGAGAGAAGTTAATGGACTCTGTCTTCTAAATACAGAAATAAAGTACAGTTCTTGGACCTTCATTCTTGATATAAGGTTAACTCATTACAGCTTACTAAGAAATTATTGACAAGTGGGTAGGGGTTAAGTGTCCAAAACTAATTCTTACAGAAAATTATTTTCTGAAGGCACAAAAGTGTCGCTTGAAAGAAATGTAAATTTTTAGTGCATTAAATTGAGGTTTTCATCCTTACTCAAAAAAGAGGATGCCGGGGCGCCCGGGTGGCTCAGTCGTTAAGCGTCTGCCTTCGGCTCAGGTCACGATCCCAGGGTCCTGGGATCGAGCCCCACATCGGGCTCCCTGCTCAGCGGGAAGCCTGCTTCTCCCTCTCCCACTCCCCCTGCTTGTGTTCCCTCTCTCACTGTGTTTCTCTCTGTCAAATAAATAAATAAAATCTTTAAAAAAAAAAAAAAAAAGAGGATGCCAAGTATCTCAAAGGGAGGTCGTTATCCTTAAAAGGATAAAAAGGAATTATCAACTACATGTTACAAGTATAAGAATTTGCTAACACAAAAGCAATGACACGCTTCCTACAAATCTTTGTTTTGCAGTTTTCATTTCTAACTGGCGAAATTCCAATGAAATTTGTCAAAATGGTCCAAGTCTTCCCAGCTTTGGCCAATTCCCCAGAGGACTCAACCACAGCAGTGATGTCAACCTTTAGCTATATAAAAATAAGCACGTATCTTGACCCCAGAACTCCAGAAAAAATCAGAACACAAAGAGAAAGTGGACTTGGATTTTTAATTTTTTTTAAAGATTATCTCTATATATATATATATGTATTAATAAAAAGTGCAAAGAATAGACCTTCATGTTTAAATTATACTCTAAAATAAAATATATATTTCCATTAGCTGCAGGAGACAACTGGCAAGTAAAGAGCCTGAGAGAACCCAGCCCCTCTCCATCACTACAATGGACATATTATAGTAAAGGAAGCACCTATGAAAAATAGAGTGTTCGCAACACATCTGGTAACACAGATAGCTTTTGGGGGTACTGGAAAGCAGTTTGTTTTGCGTTTTCAATCTAACATGAAATGTAGGGAAAAATCAAAATTCATAAACAGAAATGACATTGCTTAGAACAATCTATTATTTTGTATTCCTGTTTTATGTGCCCTAGAGCCCAGCACTTGCCACAGAGCAAGTCATGCTCACACGTGCATTAGGAAGAGCCATCAGCGGCGTGCCTCGGATGGGGGTCAGTTCCTTGCGCAACCAGTGTTCTCTGGTCGGGACACTGCTGACTTAGCAACAGAGCTGAAACATCTGGGGAGGACTGAACTTGCATTTCTTTAAGTGAACAAAGTTTTAGGACATAGCATCGTAACATGTGGCTCTGTTACACATAGCTCATGTTTTGGGCTTCTTTTCACCCAAAGGTCTTCAAGAAACAAGGCGTTGTAGGATATCTGCTGCTTTCTTATGTGTTTATGGACATGGTGGCAATAGGTTGCAGAAACAATAGAAACTTTTAATAATAATAATAATAATAATAATAATCCTAAAAGACACGGGACTCCAAACTTTTTTTCCCTCCTTTAAAGCAATCTGGGATATTTCAACAATTCCATTTCGAAAGCCGATTTCTGTTGTGGCTTCGGCAGCTACATGTGGGCACAGAGGATCCCTTGGTTTTGATCTGGCTTTCTTCTATTACTCCTTTCCTTTTTCTCCACTGAAAAGAATTTCTATTTTAGAAAAGATATGTTTTATACACTGTGCCTGCAGCAACATATCTGTAATACTGGCTCTGACAGCGTGTTGCCTTATAAATGCCAATAACAGGCTCTCGCTATATGTGGATGAAGTCAATATTAAAATACAGAGAAGTTGTGGCCATCTATTATGCATAACTTTTAGACTCAAAGGTCCATGGTCTCGTGTCTCCTTCTTTTTGGCCTGTTACAAAAATAATTTGGGTTACAAGTGTCTACACAGCACCAATTTTATTTCAAAAGCAGCATCTTTACTCAGCCGCCCAAATAAATCTACAAGTACACATGCTCAAATAGCTTTTCTCTTTTACTTCTGTTCTGTAGCTCTAAAAGACCGGTAATTGCATTAGACTTTGTCTCAATCAAAAATTGTTCAGCAATTATTAAAACCATCAATTACAATGCCCTAAAAATACCCACATCCACTGAATTTGATGAGACATTCCCCTGACATGCAACTGTATAATAGAGGAATTATCCTGCAGTTGATGGACGCTGTGTTCTGTCATAACAGAAGGAACAGGTCTCTAATAGTAAAAAAGCATTTCATAAAACTTTGTCATATATAAAATATCTTATTAATTGTGACCATTCCACTTATGATTAAAGCACAACCCAAGTGTTTGCTCTGCCTTCTGCTGTGGGACAATCAGGGGTCATACTACCTCAAAAAATAAGAGTGCATCTGTTTCCCAGGCTGACAAAAGGGACAGGCTCAATTACAGTTTCTCTCTCAAACTCGTCTGCACTCATGCACACATACACAAAGCACCCACAGTTTTTATCTTTATGACACTGCTTCCACACTTTTTTCCAACTTCCAAAAATCTGTCAGGAAAATGTGATTGCAAAATAATTATTCTTGTCTCTACCCAGCCTGGATCTCCAGTGCTCAGTCTTAGGATTTTGAAAGATCAAGTCGGCAGCAGAAGGAGAACAGGCTTCATTCATCTTTCTCAAACCCTTTGGTTTCCACCTTTAACGTTACAGTGAATGAAGACTTGACTCAGTAAGCCTGGGTCAAAGGCTTTACAGATTCTGAACCTGAAGTGCATTAAGAGAATAAACATCTGCTGTTATGGCATAGGAAAAATTTAAAAATAGCAATAATAATCACAACTCTGCAGAAGTGAAGAATTTACAAGAGTTATCTAAAAATTTCGTTACGAAATTAAAGAATTTTGTAGGAGCGGTGGAATCCTATAACAAGGTCAAAAGGTCAAATGCAATCAGATAATGATTACATTCTTGGAAAAAATACTTCATGTGCACATCGCCTGCCCTTAATGATGCCAAGTCTTCCCCCAGTCTCCCATCTGTAAACACCGTGGACCAAGAAAGACACCTATCACAGAAAGGGGTAAACCTGATTAACAAAGGATTACAAGAACAAATGCAAAGATTTCAGGGCAGGTGAGGAACTGGCTTTTAAAGAAAAGTGCTTTAAATATGCTTCTGCAAAAAATATGACTTGGAGGCAATGCTGAAGTTTTGACACTTAGACTTTACTCATAGATTAGGCAGAGTTGTTCTTCGGGAGGGGCAGCTAAGTTGAAATGTAAAACAAAAAGAACTGTCCAATTACGACATCACAGAATCCCAGGGAAGAACTGGGAATCAGAACTCCCTTTGATTAAGCTTTCCCACTTGTAATGCAAAGTGCAAGAGCCAGGGCTTCAAATGACGACACGGGCAGGAAGGTCACAACTCGCTTTCTCCTGGATGGCTGGACTTCTCTCCCACTCTACTCCCTCACACGCACCAAGGACAGTCGGCTCTCTAACTCCCAGCTCTCCAGGCACATGTATCCTTTACTCTCCTGGGTCCCTCAGAAAGTCAGGCCTCTAGTCCCAATGGTTTAGAGTAATTAGAAAGACAGCTAGAGATGAGGAAATACATTGGACAAGCAAGAATAAAAGAACTGGGGCACGTGACACGTTTTGGTTTATGGAAGTGGGGGTGGGCGTCAGGTGTGCAGGACGCAGACACAGGCCTGGGTACGTACAGGGGGCCAGGCTGCTCAGCCTGTGCTGACAGGGCAGCAGCGAGTCTTCCCGGGGTTTTAACTCTCCGTCGGCTCCTCTTCAGGATCCTAACAGAGTTCCAGGTTCTCACGGAATACCTGAGAGTTCAGAATCAGGTTGAAAATGCTTAAAGCACTACAATTACTTCAAAAGGGCGAAATGAAAAAATTGCCCACACTGAGAAATGAGAAGTTACTTATGGGCAGGATAAAACTATTAGGTGAACACGTGCTGACATGAGTCAAAATGAAAAACTGAACCACAACAGGAAAGGAGGGAGAGAGGGAGGGACAACGCAAGAACTGGGGGAGAGAAGTGCTGGACCTTCCTTTCAAGCTCCCTGCTCCCGATTTAAATCCCACAAGTTGCCCTTCTGAGGGGGGACACACTGTTCACGCTATCTTCACAAATATACCTAAATGGTCGTGATAACCAAGCGGTAGACACAGCCCAGTGAACACAGTAAGAAGTCGGTGATTTCTTGGTCATCTTTCATGAGGGAGGGCACATGGACTGGAGATGTGGCCAATTCTGCTGGCTGAGCTGAAGAAATCTGTGGTAGAAAATACCAAAAACAGCCCCCTACCCATCCTAGAGGGAAAAAAATATACAACCCCCCCCAGAAACCTAAACAAAACAAAACAAAACAAAAACAACTTTCTCCCTCCTAAAGGAAACCACATTGGAAACAAATGCCCTGCAAGAAGTCCTTATGTATGTGTTTTTTACAAGGCTGGTCGAGGTTATTTTGTTTTGGATTCCACATAAATTTTATCTCCATCCCTAATGCCAAAAGAATGCAGTGCCCGAGAGCTATACTTCATTTCCTCTGGGCCAAAGGGTGCTTCATGGTCAAAATAGTAGAGAAGCATGTTGCTTGTGGGTAACTGCACTAGAGTTTTTAATTGTTTCTTTAGTTCTGCAACTGTCTGGTCCAGACGAATGCTCATTTCTTCCACCTGATCGTTAAAGTGGACTTCTACTTTCGCACTGCTCTGGGGTCTTAGGTCCACTTCTGCCAAAGGCTCCAACTTCCCATATTTTGTAATCAGTTCATGATACCTAGAAGGATAAAAAAACAGTGTCAGCTTAAGCCACTAGCACATGAACTATGAACTTCTTCAGAACTCCAGTAAACGACACTGCTACAGCCCTATACTAATATCATCTCCATCTATCTATTTGCCTGATGAACTATTTGTGTATCTGTGATCTCATAGGTTGCTCTTTTGAGGCCACAATAAAACCACCTTCTTGTGGACAGGAGAAGAGTTTGTCCTAAAGATGGTCACCATGCCTGCTGTGAATCGTTATAGAAGAATAGACTTAGGGAGGAAAGGAGAACCTAGAAAAGTAGACACCACAGGATTACAGAGAGAAGTCTAATAACTCTGTAGAACTTGCTTTCTTGGGTGTCATCATCAAAGGCATATATCTAAGCACATGTTCCTTGGTGACAGATGGGAAGATGGAAGGAAGATGGCCAGTTTCTGACCATCCGAGAAGACAACTTACAAACAACAACAAAAAATCTAGTTGTATGTGAGCTGTTAATCCAGCTTTTTCAGTGATGCTTTATTTGAATGTTCCAGTGTAGTCTCATTGGCTATAATATAAGGTCTTTGTAGAAGAGTGAAGAATACAGTCTTGTGGGGTGCCTCAGTGGCTCAGTCTGTTGAGTGTCCGACTCTTGATTTCTGTTCAGGTCATGATCTCAGGGCCATTAGATCGAGCCCACTGTCAGGCTTCATGCTGGGTGGAGAAGGCTGCTTGAGATTCCTTTTCCCCTTCTCCCTCTGCCTCCCCGCCACCCCCCAAATAAATAAATAAATCTTAAAAAAAAAAAGAATACAATTTTGTGAAAAAGTGGTAAATGGCAAACGAGGAATACAAGTTCCTTGATCAAGGCAGGAATAAAACGCAGAAGATACCAAGAGGAAAGTGAGTTATAGAGGTGAAACTAGGGCCCACAAGGTCAAATTTCCCACGTGGAAAATCCTGTCTCCACTGCCAGCCTTGGAGGATCTAGGTCTGATTTTACCAAGAAAGCTGAGCAATTTTCCATAAATCAGAGAAGGAAAAAATGATGAGAAGACCTGATTATCAGCTTTATTATAACCAAGAAATCCTGAGGTTAATTCGGGATCAGAATACAATGGTCATGCAAGATTATTCCCCCACCCTACTTTTGGCTTTAACTCAGTTTAAGTCAGTGTTAAAAGTTTGGTAGGAATATTAAAGATGGAGGAAGACATGTGTGGGTAAGGAGGGAGGGAACCGTTTTCAGTAAAGGGGGCAACAGGATATGGTAAAATGATCCTGGCTTTGGAGTCAGAAGATCTGACTTCAGAGTCTTGACCCCATCTTACAACCGGCTGTGTGACTCATCAAATCCATCTCTTTGTATCTCAGTTTCCTCATTAGTAAAACGGATTAAAAAGTCTGCCCTTCCTACCTTACAAAACAGTCAAGAGAATTATATAACATAATAGATGAGTAAGTACTTTGTAAATTCCAAGTCTGTATACAAATAAAAAATAAACACGACACGCCTATTCTGGAATTTACATTATTAAAATACACATACCCCTTTAGAAAATAAATGATTGAAATCTATTTAGAACTTCTTTGAAAAGATGGTGCTATGATAAAACAGATTACAGAATCTTCTTCTCCCGGAACTTGTGTCAAAAACAGTATCTTTTCAAAGGGTAAAAATGTTACCAGCAACAATTAACAAAAGAAGAGAGGGAATAACCTTATTATGATAGGCTTTATTTAAAAGGAACCAGAAGCTGTGTACTATGTGGTTCTGCTAAGCAAAGATCCTAATCCAACCCCCAGAATCCACTATGGAGGAAGAAGATAAAGAGCAAATTCCCGAGTGTGCTAACACTTCCCAATTTAGAGAAAATGGGGCTGAAGGGCTAAGGAGTGAGCCAGGAGAAAGCCTGAGGAAACACTTTGGGGACTAGAAGCCTCTATGTCCCACTACCAGTATGTCAGGATTCTTAGCAAAGGTGAACAAAACAAAACAAGCCCAAAAAGCAAAAGCCTCACCAGGACTTGAAATTTTCCGAATTGAAAGAGTGAAAGGATTCAAACTCTAAGAGTATCTTTCCCTACCCCTATCTCCTACTATATGTCTTCAAACAAGTGAAACTAGGCTATGATAATTTCACAAAATCTTAGAAAAGACAGCAGGGGTCAAATAGAAGGTGAACCCAACTCCAGAGATGTTTTCCCTTCAGACTACAGAAAAGTCGAATTGTAACATCCCAGCTCTCAAACTCTGCCTCAGAGGGACAAAAGAAACAATGGTGAAGGGGTCAAGGAGAGTTTACTTATACTATGTTTCAGTAAAGAGATGGTCTGGAGAGCGGTGCCCACTTTTAAGCATAAGCGAGGAGACAAAATAGCAACTAAACACATAACTGCAGCAAAAGGAATAAAAGAAAGAAACACACAGTAAGTAAAATGCAGAGGCAGAACTCAATCTGAAAGAAAAAATAATTGAAGGCACGCTGTCCAGAACTTATTAAGTGCATGAATTTAATAAAATAAGAGCTCAAAGACAAATGATAAACTGAAGGAGATGAAAAGACAGATCGCAGATGAAACAAATTGAGGAACACAACAATGCCACGGCCGACAAAATAAATGAATTAGAAAGTGTGATCCAGGAATAGTATACCTTGCCAAGTTTTGTTCAGAAAGAAATTTAAAAGCCAACTATTCTGAAACAAGAAGAACTTAGGGAATAGGGCACCCATGCTTCCTTCTGAAAAAGGAAAACTCTGCTCAACATTGAGATTAAAGAACTAGTGATAAGTCCTACATCTATTTAATATAAAACTAAAACTTACAATAATCATTATATAATTCTAGACTTATTTATATTTGGCACTATGGCCAACTGAATTAATCTCAACCACAAACAGATTTGTACACAAAATTATGACCCACAGGCAGAAACTGGCCTACTTGCTACAACTGGCCAAGTCCATCTACAAATTAAATGACCTATAAATTAGGACACCAAGGTCCCATAGTTTTCTCAAATTGACACATCCAGAAATAATTCATTGTCACTCCCCAACCATCTCTTCCAGTCTTTCTTATGTTAGTAAATGGCATCAGGAATGATTGACTCATCCTAGCCTAGAGCTGGACAGTCATCCTGATTCCTTCCTATCTCTCTTTTCCACCTGTTTGATCCAAATCAATTGCCATGTGCTAACAATTCGATTCCCAAATATTTCCTGAATCTATGTGCACCTCTCTTGCCCACTTGTAGTCTTGTAAATTCAAGCCACTGTCATTAATAACCTGGAGTGCTAGAACATTCTGTAGATGAGCTTCCTCAGGATCTGTTCCAGCTTCCTCTGGAATGCCTTCCTCCCATACTGCCGAGACTGGGAAGGTAAAAACGGCATTTTCCACACTTATTTGCAGGTGAGACTTGGCTTCTATCAGTTACATTCAGCAGCCCTGGGGACAGATATAATGGATCTAGCCGATGGTGTGGGCATGGTTTGGGTATAGGCTCCCCAATTACCAAACTGCAGTTCAAACACTGTGTTCCTGGAGTTAAGACCCCTGGCAGCAGTTTGCTGAACCCCCAGATCACAGCTTAGCTGGTGTGATCCAGCACCAGGGACAGCAGCTTCATGAGTTTCTCCTTATCTGATCCTACCAGAGGCAGCAGTGCCATTGGTGGGCCGGTTCTGTGGTAGCATTTGAAGGCAATCCTAGCGACACAGCCCTTCCAAAATTTTTTGTTAAGCACCTACTCCCTGTATTAAATTCCTTTCTTCTTAACATAGCTAGCATGACTTCTGTTATCTATAACCAAATCCCAAATGATACTCCTTCCAAAGGTTTCCCATAACTTCAGAGTGGCCCCACACTGACCCTTGTCTACATTACAGCCAAATTGTTATAAAACACAAATGTGACCACATCACTCCTCTACTGAAAATCATGCAAAGCCCATCAGAATAAAGCCTGAACGCTATCATGATTGTGGAAGGCAGAATTTTGGCCCCCACGATCTTCATCCCCTGGTGCTATTCTCAAAATTATATTATACTGCACTGTTGACCTTAAGATAGGGAGATTCACTGAATGGGACTAATCTAATCATACCAACTGTTAAAAGCAGAGAAGCTTCTCCAGGCAGCAGCAGAAGAGGAAGTCAGAGAGATTCTAAGCACGAGAGAATTTGCTATATCATTGCTGGCTTGAAGATGAAGGTGGCCACATGGAAAGCAGGAGAAAGTACAGAATTCTCCCACCATCCTGAATGAGCCCGCAAGGTGATTCTTCACCAGAGCCTTCAATAATGAACACAGCCCTGCTAACCCCTTGATTTTGGCCTTGTGGGACCCTAAGCAGAGAACCCAGTTAAGCCACATTGTGCCCATACTTCCGACCCACAGAAACCATGACATAATAAGTAGGTATTGTTTTAAACCACTAAGTTTAGGGTAATTTGTTATAACAGCAATAGAAAACTAAGTGACCTATAAAAGGCCCTTCATTATTTGGTTCCTTCATAACTTTCCATCCTTATTTTGTATCATAAACATTACCACTTCTGCACCTGCCTTTCCACTTGTTTAAATCTTAAAACCAATGTTTATTTATTAATTTGCAGGTAAAGCCAATAGACTTTTGTATATGGATAACAGTTTTGATATGGGCTATAACAAATATTCATTCTTTATTCTATAAAAATGAAGGAAAATATCAGAATTGTGTATCACTATACACACTAAATATGCTCCCTTAAAAGTTACATAAGTAAAAAGTATTACCTTTTTTTTAGAGGGTGGGGAGGGGCAGAGGAACAGGGAGAGAGAATCTTAAATAGGCCTGAAAGGGGTTTGATCTCACGACCCCAAGACTATGACCTGAGCTAAAGTCAAGAGTTGGACGTTTAACCAACTGAGCCACCCAGGAGCCCCTAAAAAGCATGAAAGTACGATTTTAGGATAATATGTTTAATCCCCATTTTCTTATTTTGTATTATCTTTAGGCAGGGCAGATCAGTAAATATA